GTGTGCCTTGGAATTCAAACGGGATCGAAAGATAATCTTTCTTTCTCCATTGACTTCAATACATAACTTCCGTAATAAGGTCCCATGGAGCTCAACCAGAAGGGGAGGGACTTCGCCTCTCTATAGCCTCCCAGTCAATTGTTTATAAGTTGAAACACAGATCGTATTTGAACTGGAACTTCTCCCATTTGTCCGGGACAGAAACGCTGACTTAGTTCTAGTGTGACCTGGCCTTGTTATCGGTGAAACGCACCCTATAGGGATATTCCTGAGTGCTTCATTATGCTCTGATATGTGCCACAGCTGTAAACCTTTCACAGCTTCCGAGTAAACCATCACTTCCCTCTCATTTATTTTACTGATGGGCAACCAAAGTCTCGTATTCTTCGCTAGGCTCTGGCAATTAAGGTGTGTGTGGACACTGAGAAAATATGTGTGTGCTTTTTCACGCTTCTATAAATCGGATGCCATGAATCAACTTGATGTTCAGCCATAAAATAAGGGCTTCTCTAATGGGAGATTGTTTCTGCTATAATTGCGCTGAGACTCATTTTTAAGAACTGTGTAGTCTACAGCTATCCATTCACTCTGATGTGGGCTATTTATTACAGGGGGATATGGGTGAATAGGGAGGTGAACTTTGCTATCTATCCTCAGTTAGTGTTTGGACAGTTTGTGTTGTCATATTGGGTTTGAAATAAAGTAATAACTATGAGGTTAAAGTGCTGACTTCCAGCTTTAATACTTCACATCCATAGTTTGTAAGTGTGCAGTGTCGACCCTTTTGCCCATTTGCAGACAAAGATTAATTGGTGTCTTCTCCCGGACAAATCGTTGCTCCCACTCCATCATTATGAACGACGTGTCTATAAAACTGTCAACTAAACACCTCCAACTGCAAAGAAGATACATTATTACTCAATATGAGTTTTTAAACCATGATGATTTTTAATTTGCAAAACTTCCCCAAGGCACAGAAAACAAGTTGTATTGGCCAAACAAAGAGGACAACATAATGGGCAGCACACACTGGAGAACCGGTATCCCTCCATCTTGTGACTGTGTAACTCCCTCTCTTGGATATCAGCATGTGAAGGACACTGTTCAGGAACTAGTTGATGCTCTGTATGTGATGACTACTTCCATTCTGGAGAGGATCACAGATACATGGATCCTGAGATTCAAGCTCAAGCCGGGGACGAGTGATTATTAACATTTTTAACTATTCAGAAAAACTCAAAATTTGAGATTTTTAGAAAAAGTCATATTTTTGAGATTTTTAGAAAAAGTCAGGATTTTGAGGAAAAAGTCAGGATTTTCAGATTTTCAGAAAAAAGCCAACATTTAGAGGAAAAAGTCAGTATTTAGTTCATGACAAGATAACAAGAAGCGGCATTCCTCCATCTTGTGACTGTGTAACTCCCTCTCTTGGATATCAGCATGTGAAGGACGCTGTTCAGGAACTAGTTGATGCATGTTCAGGAACTTTAGTTGATGCTCTGTATTTGATGACTACTTCCATTCTGGAGAGGATCACAGATACATGGATCCTGAGATTGAAGATCAAGCCGGGGACCAGGGATTATTAACAATGTTAAATATTTAGAAAAACGCTAATTTTGAGAGAAAGTGTGAATTTTCTTAATTTTTTTTAAAAAGTCTACATTTTGTGAACAAGTCTGCATTATCAGATTTTGTGAAAAAGTCCGATTTTTGAGAAACATTTTTAGAAAAAAGTCAGAATTTAGAGATATAATTCAGAATGTTTGAGATTTGGAGAAAATGTTTGAGATTTGGAGAAAAAGTCATAATTTTGTGAAAAATAATCAGGATTTTGAGAAAAAGTCAGAATTTTTTTGATTTTGAGAAAAAGTCAGAATTTTGAGAGAAAGTCCGAATTTTTAGATTTTCAAACTCAGTATTTTGTACATGACAGGATGTATGATTACCTACAAGAACCGGTATTCCTCCATCTTGTGACTGTGTAACTGAATTTTATCACTTGACTTCCAAAATAATCGATTTATTATATGTGCACATTCCCCATAAAGTTTGCTATCAAAAGATCATTTTCTTTATGTATACAACTTTTTAAATAATGTGTTTTTTAAAATGTCAAGCTTAACTTCCGTTCCTCCATTCTCGCCTATTTTACCTCAAAATAATCTCAGATTTTATATTTTAAATTGTTTTATTCTTTCTCAAAAAAAGTCACGAGTTTGAGAATTCAACGTTACCTGGCAAGGCTCACATAGGGTAGTTAACTGTAATGAGTAGTGCATTTACATAGTTGAAACCTTTGGGATTCAAGGCTTTGCAGACCATTTACATGCACCATTACATCGCATTACATTACATTGCATTTAGCTGACGCTTTTATCCAAAGCGACTTACAATAAGTGCATTCGACCAGGAAGATACAACCTTGAAGAAAACAGAATCATATAAGTACATCAGGTTTCATAGAGCCAAACATTTCAAGTGCTACTCAACTGGCTTTAGATAAGCCAGCCCTTTATTAGTATATAAGTGCTTTGTTAGTAATTCAATCGCTCGAAGTGGAGTCGAAAGAGATGAGTTTTCAGTCTGCGCCGGAAGATGTGTAAACTTAAATACCAGGCTACAGGTAAGGGGAAAACTCCAAAAAGCATAATAGGGCTCCTTGTACTTCTAAATCAATAGCGAGTTCTCTCACTACATCGCATTTCTGTGTTTTTTGAAAACCTACATTTGGAGAACTAGCTAAATGTCCTCCAGGCATATTTCTCTATCTGATTCCCTAATGACTTGAATACATTTCTATGCAGCTCAAAAGCTTGATTTTTAGTCGAGTCTGAAGCATTCATCCCTGCTCTGGAGATCGCTTAATTTCACATGTATGGTTTTAGCTCCAATGCCCAGGCGTGTGTGATATTCAGTATAAAAGATTCATGTTTCTATTAGTTTAACAGAATAATGTATCTAATGGTTGCAGTAACACGAGTAAACATCTTGATTCCCGTCTATGGTCTATGAAAGAAGACTTCTATAGCACATGAGAGACCTTTTGATAAAATAACTTGCCCTTTTAAGGACCCAAACACAGGCAATGTTTAACCTAACCGTGCAGTGACTGAAAACATTCATTAATGCTTCGTAGGATGAGTTTTCAAAGAGCTGAAGCCTTCGGAGATCTGCACGTAGTCTCAATGCCCACTTGAGGAATTAGGACTGAGGCAACACAAAGAAAACGGCAGCTATCCACTTTGTTTTTCTATTTTCTGAGGTGCATTTCACACCTAATTGACCGACTGTGGGAGCATGCCTGCGAGCCAGACCTGAGGTTTCAACAGACATTCATACCGTAGATATCTTTTTACTTAATTTCCCAGGGTGCAGGGCTGCATTTAGCCTTTCATAAATCCCTTTCCCAGCCGGGGTCGGAGGTAGAAATGTCAGTCCCTCTTTTGCAAGTCTATTTACTTCAATGGACTTTGCAAACGGACTCAAGAATTACATTTCAATATGAATATCTGTATGGCTACAATGGGACTAAAGTAGCTTCTCAATCTAACAGACCCTTCCAACATGTCATTCAGGACTGATTGATTCTGCAGAGCTTTAATCTCTTAGACTAACCTGTATCTGAAATCCATTTTATTTCCCCTTCTTTTGTTTTTTTATAAAATCTGATTGAACCTGCTAAATTAATCCTTTGCCGTTCTCATTTTCCTAGAGTCTATTTAATCAGGTCCTAACATGATTTGATCTCATTATCCCTGCTTTTGGCTCATCAGAACTGCTCAATAAATGTCATTCTCTGAACTAACAGTGACAGGTTGAAATGATCCCATCATAGCTTTAATGGCTTTTCAAATGATTTCCAATGTATTAAATCTATAAACACTACATGGCCCAGAGTAAGTGTACATTCACAAATTACACATACAAGGGATAGCTTACAATCTTATTCCAAAACTATAAAATAAATATGCTGTCGTAATTGCCTCAGAAACATTTTTGAATGGTTTGGAATTGACAGCATTGATTTGCTCTTATATTGAGACAAGAGTATTAGCTTAGCGTGGCCAAAATCGAACCATTTCAATTAAACAATTACTTTGATGCAGTAGATTTGCTATTGCAAGTCCAGCAATATATATATTTTCAATTAATTGGACTACTTTGTTTTGAACATAGTGACCAAGTAACACTCGCAACTTCTATTGGCTAGCGCTCCAACACATTGTACTTGATAGGCTAATGGGCGGGATATCTCTAAGCGGTTGACCAATCACAACAGAGCCGGCCAGCTAACCAATCAGAGCAGACTGGGCTCTGGTTTTAGACAGAGGGTGAAAAGAGGTGCTGAAGCTCAGGCAGTATGAGAACAATAACTAGCTGTTTGAACATTAAAGCATGGAGACATGTAGAGACACTATATATATGAACCTGTAAATATGCATCCTCTTTAAAACTTTGAACAGTCCTTGGTTAGCTGCTTACGGTCTTAATGCTAAGCTATTAGAATGCCACCTGTGGTCTTGTATTAAACAGAACAACATTAAAGTGGTATTAATACTACCAACTAACAAGATGCTAGAAAGCAAAACAGTGTATTTCCCAAATGTTTAAAAAGACTGCTTTAAAAAAAATCTCAGAGCAAGTTAACTGCATTCAGTGATTATGGTTATTATAAAAAAATCTGAAAATGTTAATGCATTTTTAAATTGACATAATATATCACTGATGGTTGCCTTTCATCTGTAACAGCAATGCAGCCTAATGGTGTACTTTCGTCAGCTCATTAATTACAAATGGGTTTCAATACCACTGAAACCTTCCTAATGTATTCATGTATTCTTTTTTCTCTCACCAGAGTTCCAGTGGGTTCAAGGAGATGTTTGTGAAGTTCAACTCATGGTCTACAACCCCATGCCTTACGAACTTCGTGTGGAGAACATGGTCAGTACATTTCATTACATGTTAACCTAAAATGAGATGCTTTGTAGGATAATCCGTGATTTCAGTCGTATCTAACTCGGTGAAAACAGGAGGCTGCTGACTTGCTCTTTCTTGCAGTCGTATTACAAACAGTCCCTCTGCACCAGGGCAAGTGATAATGCTTTGTAGTCATCCTTGATAGCCTAATTATGTCCCTTAAAAGCTTTTTTTGACAGTTAAATACCGTAATGATCGCGTGAGATGGTAAAAACCAACTCTTTTTGCTCCTGGCAGTAAGAAAACATCACCAGTGCCATTACTTTTATGGTTTCACACCATCCTGTCAGAGCAGATTGTGTATTGAGTCAAGCATAAGGCTCCGTGCAAAAAAAATGTTTGAAAAGAGCCATCAGAAATCAGGCAGTTCAGTTAATTGCACTTTTAAAAAGCTGCTTGCTTTTAAAGTTCAGAACATTTCCTCATTAAAAGGACCGCAAACCGTAGCAGACATCCATTTCTAATTTATGGTCTTCGCCAATCCCTTAGCGCTCCTTTTTACATAATGTCAGCAGCTTTTTCAGGTTCAATGAGTGCAAAGGGTTCATAAAGCGCTGTTCTTCCTGCTCACTGCTGTGTCTCTTTATGAAAGCGTTTGTGTGAGACATCCTTGAAATGCAAAGCAATCATCAGACCTCATAAAAGGCCAGCAGGGAGAGGCCTTCTTTCAGCTGCTACAGCGACACAGAAAGAATCTCACGCAATGAACTACCTGTCAGAAATGATGTCGCATTTAATTGATTGGAAAGCCGGGAACAAATTGCCTCAAAAGTTGTGTGCCGTAGTGTAAACAGAGACAGCGGCTTCTTAATTGTGGCGGCTGTCTCGCAGCTGATGCCGGATAGAGTTGGACAGGTGTTAGCTGGTTTATTTTTTATTTAGCCATTCTGCTGTTCTGTTTCTGAAGCAGGAAATGCAGGCGACTTCCAGTTAGGAACATCTGGATAAGTTTAACCATCACATGTCAGTACTAAGGGCAACAACCGTAAACCAATGAGAAGATAACCACAGTCCATACGTCTCCACTATCATTGACTTTCCATCTACCTAAAGGAAATATTTGTTTAACTTTGCCAAAGAACATCTTTTTTTTTCATCCTACAACTTGTACAATTATTTTCCTTTTCCGTACTAAAAAAACATATTTTTCTTACGTTTTCTTTGGTTATTGTTATATAGAACAGACAAAGTAAAACATTAAAGGAGGTAAGGGAGAGGAAAGTGCAGCAGGTTAAGTCATGCTTTAAAAGGACTCTTATAAGAAGGACTTTTGGCCCAAAATGGCAAAAGCTTAAAGGTCCCATGTCATGCTTTTCCGGTTATGACGTAACCGGTCTGCAGAGTCACAAACCCTCAAAGTACACCCTGTAGCGAGTACAACTCTAACACAGAGAAGACCTGTCTATGCTGCCCCAGAACGCCTCGTTGGACATTTCTCTTTATCCATTGTTTTCTTCCGGGAACCAAGTGACCTAACAACGACCCAATGGACCAATCCGTGGAGCTCCTCACACACCAGGATCCCTTGGCGTCACTATCAAACGCAACTATCAGCATAGAGCTTTTCTCAATGTTTTGGAACATTGAACAATGTAAATCTATTCTAGTACACCTCAACAATGGAATGATGATCAGTAGAAATGGCCATGACATGGGACCTTTTTAAAGAACCTTCTTGGCGAATTCACTCGACTTAAACTACCGTCTGAAGTTCACAGAGTCCACGATATATGGTCTGCCTGTGTGCCGAGTTACTGTGAGGTGAAACAATCAAACAGCCAGGGTCAATTAGCGATGAGGATGTTGTTAACTCCGCCCACCTCCAGATGAATTGATCAGGTCACAGATGGAGGCTGAAGCCCTTCACAGCTGCTGTTGTAGAGACAGACAGCGTGACGTAGAGCTCCTCTGTAACCCAGACAAAGTGACTGCTGTTAGAGCGGAGCAACCATCCACCCGGCTGTAGATAAACCAGCTCTCTGACACACACACACACACACACACACACACACACACACACACACACACACACACACACACACACACACACACACACACACACACACACACACACAC